TATGTAGTCTTATCGTTACATACAAAATCTGTATTTATTACAAAAGGTTAATCTTTAAACTCATATCAAAATGTTATTACATTTTCAAACGCAAGCTGCTCACCTTGGAATCCAACATTACGGCGTTTATTTTGTTATTAAAATATGTTAGATAGCAGTGCGCTTTTAAAGGGACACTATCACGGCGAGTTTACTACATTCTTGATCAAAAGAGTGCTAAAATTATGACAGAGATGACAGAGTACCTTCACTTGTACACAAAATGTTATTACAACTTCAAGATAACGATATCAAGTGAATTGTTAAATAAAAAACAAATTGCAAATTAGTTTTACGCGACACGACTTTCCAAGACACGACTACATAATTCGAAAAGAGCCTTCCAGACTTTCTTAATTTGAGATCAAAACCTTGCGCATGCGTAACTCATTATAACACTTCAACAGTGCCACTTCAATAGTAAGCTCTATATTTTTTTCTCTAGGTTTCCATCAATGAGAATCTATCTTTGAGCTTTTGACTTTCGAAGGCCATGCTCACGATAGCGTCCCTTTAAGTTGATTTTAGGCTTTTGACTTCGCGTAATGTGAACTTACTAATCATTCACCTTCTCACCATAGAAATACATAACTTGCTGTACTTAAAACTATCCTCGTTTTATTTTCCTTGGTAGTGAAACTTCTGTCTTCAGGAGTGGGGTCATCCATTTCCAACACCAAGTATTCTTTTCATCTTCAATACTTTCAACACATTACCTTGAATTCAATTTTGAGTCAAAGATTTCCTGCCGCCGAGGCTGTGATTTCCATTCGGTTTGACTCGACTGTATGTTGTCAGCTTTATTTGTGTGCAGCTTCTTAATTCCGATGTGCTTCTATCGACAAAGTATTTTTAACTGATATTTGGTTAGCCTGCAAGATTAGCAGAATTGGAGCAAGGCGAGAAAAGTGATGACATCCAGAGACAATGGATGTGATGAAATCTGTATTCCCGTTTACATTTCCCTTAGTTATTTTTAGGTTTATGTAAATGTTGCAAGCAAATTGAAGGATTTAGGTAAACGCTTCAAATAAGCAATGGGTTTAATGTTCATTTAAATTCATTTGAAGATCGCTGAATAAATGTTACCAAACAGAAGTTGAGATTATCTCGATTACAGTTCTATTTTCTTATGTTTCAACGCAAGAATTAAGAGTCATTGGTTTATCAGGAACAGTGAAAAACCGATTTATATATTGAGGCTTCTTTAACGAATTTGCAGTGAAACATCTGCCCAGCATTGAGTGAATGAAAATGAGGTGACAAAAGCAAGTAAACAGCACGTCCATTTTATCGAACGGAAAGCCAAAAACTGCAAGAAAGTACAGCTTTCTAAATCAAGGCCGCCTAACTGGAACTTCAAACGATCTTGGGCCTAACCTGAGTTACACTGGAGTCGTTGATCGCTATCCCAGGTGTCTCTGCAGGGTTCGAGTTCTTGAATGTCACCATTGGCGTCTCAGATGGGTAACTATGGCCATTTGCTCTGTCATGCTCATACCCATAATTCCCTCGTCCTGCCTCCCTCCCACCATTTACGATATTCCTATCCAACAAAAAAGTATGTACATAAAAATAAAACTATTTAACCAGGAAAATAGTGAAGAGGACACGGCTCACAAACGCCTTACAGGACGCTCGCATCACGGTTCTTTAACTGAATCTTGCTGACGGAGGTTACCCAGTACCTACAATGTGCGACAAAAGTGTTGAGACACCTAGCAGTAAAATTCGATTTTCGAGCGGCTTGGAAACGTTTTCCCTTCTTCCCCCCAACCATGCTGATTTTTCTATTTCTTAGATTGCACAGACCACAGACCACAGCGCCTACACAGCATTGAATTGGGGGTCCGGGGGCATCAGAGAATTAACGCTACATGTAGATGCAAATAAAATAGAATAAGTGCTTAAATATCGAAAAGCATCATTTTCTAAACGTGTCTCAACTACTTTTGTCGCCCATTGTAGATGTATTGAGTTTTAGTTAGCCAATGCTTCCGTATTGTAAAACAACTGCTTCTTTTGGTAATAATTTTATCCAGACTACTCCAGATTATGCGACGGTTGGACAG